AGGTCTGGCAGTAATCAGGCCTGCGTGTGGCTAGTGAAATTTAACTCAGCTTTCTAAAATAATGTGGTTAATCACAGTTCTTTCATGATTTAAGAGGAGGGGCAAATAATTTTTCACGTAGGGAGGTAGGTTTGGACAGCTTTTTTCCCTTAATAAATGAAATCATAATTTCAAAACTGCAGTTTGTATTTACTCAGGTTATCTTTGTGTAATATTAAAATTTGTTTGATGATCTGAATCTTTTAAGTGTGACAAATATGCAAACAATTAAAAAAACAGGAAGGGGGCAAAAACTTTTTCACACCACTGTACATCATATGAATGCACTTACAAAAACCCAGAATACTTCAATTGAATCTCTTTGGGAATCTGATCGAATTGGTCTGAATTTGCAAAAATTGTTCCTGAATGGAGTTAAAAACCTGTGAATCGTGAGTTGTCGCCCGACCGGCTGTAGGGTTATCCAAATACACGGAGCTTACAAAAAGTGCATGAGCTTGAGCAAAACAAAAGCTTAATCCGATTTTATTCCTGTTTTGAAATGTGTTTTGAAACACCATCTTGACAAACTTTTGGAGCGTTCGTGTTTTCCCCGTTGAAGTAGACCTGCACTGTTATGACTAGAAATGGCTTCTTAGACGGGTGTCACCGAGATGTCCGTTGAGGAAACCAGCTGACTTCTGTGCCTCTCAGATGCCTTGCTAACACCTGTCACTCCTGACGTCACAATGCACCATTGTCTGGTTGAGTCTAAGTAGATTTAAGAAGACGACCCATAATCCCAACTGTCTCACGCACACACACGCCTCCTGTCCTCTACACGAGCCAATGGCGGGGCAGTTCTCAATCTGATTGGTGCGTCAGTTCACTCTGATTGACTCTTTTGAGTTCATGCTGCACATTTGCTCATTCTGTCCTTTGGTTTCCTCACTGCTCGAGTATATTTTGTGTTTTTCTCTTATGTTTCCTGGCAGAATGCTTCTCTCATTGTTTGCTCATCTCAGTTGCTGTTTTCAATGCATTGTGTCTCTTTCAACTGCGCACATGCTCCGTTTATTTGTATACGTTTTAAAGTTGCTCTTTTATCAGTCAGTGTAAATGATCAGCTCCTGCCAAACGACTATATTGCACATTTTGACGTGTGTGTGTGTGTGAGTGATGTTTGCATTTTATTTGCACACGTTTCACATTCTTGATGCCATCATTGTGTGAAACACTGTCTCTGGGTTACAAACACTGTTGTTCGCATGCATGCTCTCTGCTCTGTTCATGTTGAAATGCTGCTATTCCTGTAGAGTGTGTGTGTGGTGTTAGTAGCTGTTCTCTCCTCACTCTGTAGAATCACTGAAGTGCTTTTGCGTTTCTCTCTCTCTCTCTTGTTTCTTCTGTTTCTGTGTCTGTTGTTGTCCTTGCACCCGCTCGTTTCTTGTCTTGCCCTTCGCTGTGGTTTCATTACCCTGTAGAGTCTGGAAGAGGAGCTCACCTCTCTCTTTCTGAGTAAGGTGTGCTTCTCTGGGCTGGCTGGCTTCTGCAGTACCGCAGCTGCTCCAGCAGAGGCCAGTAAAGTCTCAGCCGTTACTGCTTCTGTCTGTCTCTTCATCTAGCCTGCTCTGGCTTTCTGTCTCTGCAACGGCTTACGGCTTTATATTCTCTGCCGCCGCATGTCTGCACCTCTTTAAAACAGTCCAAGTTCATGCTCACATCTGGCAGCCGGTATTGATCCAGCCCTCGCTGATGTGTTGAGGAAGCACAGTGTGTGTACACACATAGAAATAATGTACTACTGTTCAAACATTTGGGGTCGGTAAGGGTTTATTATTATTTTTTTTTGGAAAAAGTCTTTGAAGATCTCCGATGCTGCATTTATTTAATCAAAAATACAGTTAAAATTGTGAAATATGATTACAACTTAAAATAGCTGTTTTCTATGTGAATATCCGTTAAACTAATTTATTTCTGTGATGCGCAGCTGTATTTTCAGCATCATTACTCCAGTCTTCAGTGTCACATGATCTTCAGAAATCATTCTAATATGCTGATTTGCTGCTCAAGAAACATTTCTGTTTATTATCAATGTTGAAAACAGTTGTGCTGCACAATATTTTTGTGGAAACTGTGATACATTTAATTTTTTCAGGATTCACAGATGAATAGAAATTTCAAAAGAACAGCATTTACTTGAAATAGAAATCTTTGTAACATCATAAGTGTCTTTACTGTCACTTTTGGATCAATTTAATGCATCCTTACTGAATAAATAAATTAATTGATTAAAAAACAAATGACCTTTTGAACAGTAGTGTGTACATATGAATTATGTAAACAGTAATCATTTCTTATACATCTAACAAAAGTAATGTACAATTAAACCATCAAAATCAAAACACAGTCAACTGTGTCAAATATGTTGCCATTATCTGCCGCAATATAATTGAGATTTGAGAGCTACAGCTATATTTACACAGACATCCATCAGTACACAGCTCTTCTAGTGAATCACACACATGAGATCAGCTCTAGAGGGCGTTTCACTGCTGCGTCTGATTGCCAGACTGCTCATAAGCTTCCAGTAACAACATAATTAGCCAATAATTTCCATCTCTGCCGTCGTGTGTGTGAGACTTCTTGTTTTGTGTGTGTGTTTACGTGATCACTGCTGGCTCTCAGACCCCTTCACACAGGCAGGTCTCGTCCTGTGAAGGACTCCTCTGAGAGCGTGTGTTTGAGTGACTGTCCTATGATTACCTCCAGGTTCCACAGAAAACCCCTCCCTGTCCTGAGACGGACAGCAGAGACGCCAACAAGGTGGTCCATCGTCCTCGCTCAGCCTAACACCTAACATCACCTGAGCAAACACACACCTAACACTGCACACACATCTCATCCTTTTTCCATTGCAGACATCATGACTCCAGCCCTCTTCACCAGATTGATCATCTATCTGTTTGTCCATGCATTCATTCATCTTTCAGCTTATGATCTTCTCTCTTTCTCGCTATGTTGCTTGTTGATTGTATGTGTGTGGTGTTGCAGTGTTAGTGCATGGACCTTAGTCGGAGGAGACGCCATGTTTGATTCAGTACCAATGAGAGCAGTGCTGTGAGCGATAGACGTACAGTGAGTTCAATCAGACACAAGAAAAATATGTGACCCTGGAGCACAAAAGCAGTGTTAAGTCGCTGGGGTATATTTGTAGCAATAGCCAACAATACATTGTATGGGTCAAAATTATCAATTTTTCTTTTATGCCAAAAATCATTAGAATATTAAGTAAAGATCATGTTCCATGAAGAGAATCTCAATTTTGAAAAATTGACACTTAAGACTGGTTTTGTGGTCCAGGGTCACATATCTAAACATCTTTACAAGAAGACACATTTAATTGAGAGACGAATGTGGATGTAATACAGTAATAAGGATTGTTTTCAGTTCAGTTTTCAGCAATAGACCCTTTAGCAGACTTGATGGTTTATACTTAAAAATGTAATTGACATTTATAACACTGTACTTTGTTTTATTACAATGGCTTTAAATGACACAAAACTAGTTAACAGTGTTAATACTGCTGCAGAGGGAGGGCAAATATGACATCTCTTCTGAGCAAAGTAATCAATCTCTCTAATTTTTCAACTTTTGGAAAGTCATAGAAATCCTGGGTTTTGTATTTTGCTATTGGAAAAAATGGAAAGGCAAAAATTATATTTGTTGTAGTTTCCGTTCACAACTGAAGAAGTTTACCAACTATGATGACTTCTGAGAGCCGCAGCAATGTTTCCTCTCGTTTTAGGCACCAGACAAGACAAGGTTTTATTCTTGTAGACAGTTTTGCTGCTTCTCAAGTACGCATCACACATTTCAGTGTGTTTTCAAGGTCCGCAAAACCGCACTCATTGAACAGACTGTACATCTCTACGTCACAGCCTTGTTTTTATTTGCATTACAATGACATTGACTTCGACTAAGGTCCGCAGGAAGTTTGTTTCCTTCAGTTTTTGTTCCGTGGTCATGGTTTATGTTTTTTGCTTTTCTCTCCATCCCTCGTGTGTGTTTGTGTGCTTGTCTGGTGTAGAGCGCAGAGGTCAAACCCGAAGTCAATGGCCAGCCAGAGGTCATAGAGGTCGTGGAAGAGACCGTTGTCATCGAGGAAGTCATCAAAGCCAAACCCAAAAGCCCCGCTCCTGAGGCGTCGGTTACCGCAGAGACAGAGTGCGCTGCGGAGGTCAAGGAGGAGAGGAGTTTATCGTCAGACAGCGAGAGCGAAGAGGAGGCGGAGTACCACGCTCAGCCACCCAGCACGAGCATCTCCACCCAACAGATCAAAGAAGAGCCCGAGGAGGAACAGGAGGCGGTGTTTACTCAACAAGCCCCGCCCTCTGGGGTAGAGTCACAGCCAATCACAGAAGCAGCTGAGCCCGGCCCTGCGGCGGAGGAAGAGAAAGCAGCACAGCCTCATGAGGAAGAGCGTACAGACGAGCCACTGCTGACGCCAGAACACACACACACAAACAAACAAACACATACACACAAACAAACACACACACAATATTCTGAGTCACACATGAGGAGCGCTGCATGCGGGGGCTTATATCTTGTGCATCGTTGCACGGGGCTTTGTGGTGCATGTTTTATGTTGCATACTTGATATCCTAATTATATGATAAGTGTGTTTACATTGATTCTTCACTCTGCTAGTAAAGATAAAGCAGCAGAAACTTCAGTAATGCCACTGAAATGATCACAGATCTGAAGTACTGATAGAAATAAAAGCGCAATATATTAACATCTGATATCGTATCCACACAGCGCTGTGTTTTTGAGCTTTTGCATGTGTGTGTTGTCCTGTCAACACTGCCAAAGATCACGAAAACAAAACTGCATTGATGTACGGTCACATGGACATTTGGAAACTTTTTGGTTCTTATTTGTCTGTTTGTAGGCTGCATGCGTTATACCAAAGACGTCTAGTTTATAGTGGTGTTTCTTTGAGCTGCATGAGCTTCCTCTCTGCGTTGTGCTGTGTAGCAGTGGTGGTGTGTTTGTGACGTCAGACCGGATGCCTCTTGTACGTGTGTCACACTGACGGCCTCTGTCTCTCCGTAGCCTCCTGTTGTGAAGACTGAGATGGTTACGATCTCAGACACGTTTGCTGCTCAGAAGACTGAGATATCCACTAAGGAGGTCCCCATCGTTCACACGGAAACCAAGACCATCACGTACGAGGCCGCCCAGGTGAGAGGGGTCACGTGATCCTGTGACGTTTCTTACGTGAAATCATAGGAATCACATTTGCTCAGGTCAGGAGTCACTGCACTGGATCATATATACTGTATATATAATCGTATATATATATATATATATATATATATGAAGAGTTCAGATGCAAAAGCCTCTAAGCGCCGTCTGAAAATTTAATCTAAAATGAGCGTTTTTTTATTAGGCTCCTGTATTTGTTAATTTATTTCACTTTAATGATAAAAATGCTAACTTCAGAAGAAAATTTCAGATGGCATTTAGAGGCTTTTGCATCTGAACTCTTATGTGTGTGTATATATATATATATATATGTGTGTGTGTGTGTGTGACCCTGGAGCACAAAAGCAGTCTTAAGTCGCTGAGGTATATTTGTAGCAATAGCCAAAAATACATTGTATGGGTCAAAATTATAGATTTTTCTTTTATGCCAAAAATCAACTTAAGAATGGTTTTGTGGTCCAGGGTCATATATTTCCCCATGAGGTAGCTTTAATGTGGTTCGCTATGTTTTGTCAGTATCCTGTAGTTTAGTTCTACTATTTCAAAAGAGTGGCTTGTCTGTCATTGAACTGCTTTGAAACTATCCTATCAAGTTGCTCATAATTTTGACACCTTCACCAACATTGACTAAAACTGTCGGCATTAATGCAGAATCACGCAGCTGTGTTGCTGTCAGAGTGCTGAGAGCGTTTGTGTTTGTTTGTTCTGTCTGTGATTGACAGCTGGATGGTAATGGAGACGGGGAGCCAGGCGTGCTCATGACAGCTCAAACCATCACCTCCGAATCGCTCTGCACCACCACCACCACACACATCACGAAGGTAACACACACACACACACTCACACACACACACTCTCTCACACACACACTCTCACACACACACGCCGCTGGCTGTGGCATTTGGGCTGATAAGAGAGGTTGTGAGATGATGATGATGATCCTGTTCAGAATGTAGGATATTAGCTGACACTGTCTGTTAAGAGTAGGGTTATAGATGCAGAGCTGACAAACCTCTTCATTTGTTTTTGTTCTACTTGAGCAGGTTCCCCTGTATTTTAATGTCAGTAGTGAGTGTAATCTAGGACCAGTGTTTAAAGACATCAGAAAAATTTGGTGTAGGATTTACTTTGAAAGCTTGAATTTTCACTCAGAAATTGCTGGTAAATTGTTGTGAATAACGTGTAGTCCTGTACCTCTGTTCAGTGCGGTGCACATCATGTCTGTGTCTCTTTAATGATTGACAGACACTAAAGGGCGGGCTGTCAGAAACTCGCATTGAGAAGCGCATTGTCATCACGGGAGACTCTGACATTGATCACGATCAGGTGAGATGCACACATACAACTGTCGTTTGTATTATATAAAGCCAGACGCACACTCTTTGATTTGTGCCTCAGTCTGTAAATGTTCCATCTCAGACTATTTTTGGACGTTGTAGCAGGTTTCTTTGGTCTGATCGCCGAGAGTGACACATTTCCACTGGTGTGTCTCATTATGTATCGCTCCCTTCAACATGGTCTTCTCAGGGTTTGTTGTGCAGAGCAAACAGTCAACCCAGACGCTTGTGACTTTATTGAATCCTTTTAAACGTTTGCTCAAAAGCTTGCTTTGGTTTGTGTGTCATCAGTGAGGATGTCAGAACTCGATCTGATTGATCAGTCAGTGCTGTCAATCACGACCAAATCCTCAGATGTACATCATACCGTTCGGGGTGGATGATATGGCAGAAATATCTTATGATTTATTTTTTCAGGCAGGATTACGATCAACAAACTTATGATTCTTTTTCATGTTAGTTTTTAAGGTTATTTTGCAAGTTACTGAGCAGTACAGCCACACTAATTTCCCTATTTAACAAATATAGCCCTACAAGGTAAACGAAAAAAGAATGACAAACCGTTTAGGCAAATGTAGGGGTGAGCGATTTCTCTTTATTGCATTATGTTAATTAAAAATGAGAGCATAAATGCAAATTATAAAGAATAGGACAAATATAAGATAACAATGAAATAAACAGTGCCTTAAATTCTTCTGGTACAGTAAGCCTATTTAACAGCAGCATTCAAGTCAGAAATTAATCAAAAATGAATGAATAATCAAGTGTAAAAACAAAACACTACGTAGTATTTACTGTATAATTTAAATATACATTGATTTTGATTAAAGCTACTAAAGTTGAGAGATACTAAAGCAGTGTTCTCTTATACTTCACATTAACGGTACAGACAGCAGCAGGTTTATTAGGCTGCTGTCACTTTAAGACCGAATGCACTGATCTAGTATATTCACACACATTCACACACACATCACTTAAGACAGAGACAACTGTGTTTATGTAAACTTTGTGTTTTTGACAGTTTAATTGCAATATTACACAAAAGAAAACTCACGTACTGTTGTGCTTTCTTTGCATGTCAGGACAGAGTGTGAGTAAAATTGTTTGAAAGTTTAAACTGGCAAAGCTTTAAAACATGCAATAATAAACTTTTGCGATAACGCAAGTCAGCCAGTCTCCCAGTAAAGACTTTTTAATCATTCATAATCTAATATCATCATGTTACCCTACGTACAGTCTAACCTAAAATACGTCTGATTTCTTGCCATTTTTCTTAGCGTTTATTCAGTATCTCACTGGGTTCATATTGTACAGTCTGACAAGCAAAAGTCGTTAAGTTGAGAAAGTCGCAGTGTGCAGCTGTGATTGTAGTGTGGAGGAGCTCATGATCCTCAGCTCCACAGACGCAGGACGACAGGTGCTTGTTTTAGCCGTGAGGTATTTCTGTCTGTCTGTGTCGTATGACGCACATATGCACACAGTTTCTGATTGGTCGGGAACATGCACACAGGTTACCATAGCGATGTGACATTTGCCATCCCCATACAGTCATGGCCAAAAGTTTTGGCAGTGACATAAATTTTGTGTTTTGCAAAGTTTGCTGCTTCAGTATTTGTAGATTTTTTTTCCACATGTGTCTATGGTATACTGCAAAAGGTTCTCTATGGGATTGAGATCCGGGGAGTTGCCTGGCCACGGATGCAACATTTTAATGTAATAATCTTCGAGCCACTTCTTTATCACTCTTGCTTTGTGACACTGTGCTCCATCATGCTGGAAAATGCACGGATCATCACCAAATTGCTCATGGATCGTTGGAAGAAGTCGCTCTTGCATTTTCTTTATTATTAATGGCAGTGTTTTTGGGCAGAATTATGAAAGAGCCCACTCCCTCGGTTGAAAAGCAACCCCACACATGGATGGTCTCAGGATGCTTCACTGTTGGCACAACACAGGACTCATGGTAGCGTTCACCTTTTCTTCTCCGAACAATCGATTCTCCAGATGTCCCAAACTGTTAAAAGGGAGCTTCATCAGAGGAAATAACTTTGCACCAGTCTTCTGCTGTCCAATCCTTGTACTTCCTGCAAAATTTCAGTCTGTCCTTGATGTTTTTCTTGGAGAGAAGTGGCTTCTTTGCTGCCTTTCTTGACACCAGGCCAGCTTAAGCAGCAAACTTTGCAAAACACAAAATTTATGTCACTGCCAAAACTTTTGGCCATGACTAGACTGAGAGACGTTCACGCAGGTCCCAGCATCAGTCGTTCACGTGCATGTATGTTTCCCATCATCTGTGTTGTGTTTTCATTCTTGTTGGGTTGTTCATTTTTTACTTTAAATCTTTTGTTTGTTTTTGTTTGTTTGTGTTGGTTTACTGTGGGCGGGGTCAGGCGTTGGCCCAGGCTATAAAGGAGGCCAAAGAGCAGCACCCTGACATGTCCGTCACTCGCGTGGTGGTCCACAAAGAGACGGAGCTCGCCGAGGACGAGGACTGAAGGGCAGGTAAGCACATGGCAACAAGCACCACTCTTGACAACCGGCTCCTCCTGCTCCAACCTGGCAGCTCCTCCTCCTCCTCGACCCGGAGCCTGTTGTTTCTCCCTTTTTGTTTGTTCTTTTTCTTGTATTCATCTCTCCTTTTGTGTTTGTTTCTTTCTTTTCTCTGTCCTGGGTCTGCTCTGTGTGCTTCTCATGGTAACACTCATTTGTGCTGAACTGGTTCTGACTCTTATTTTAGAGGATCCTCACACCTTTGAATGAAATTTATGATCTCTACATGAAAAATCAAGTAGTAGTATTATTTGATAATGTTGAGTCCCTGACTTGCATCATCCTTGAAATAGAAAACACTTAGTACTGTAGTGAATGTTTTTTTGCTAATCACTGCTACCTAATAAAATAATTAATTAGAATTAGAAAAATATTAGTATTTATTATAAATATAGCTGCAAGTGACAATTAAGGAGGCAAGCACAACAGAGGCAAGATGAGGAGCTAAGCAAGCATGGCTAGGAACATTAGACCAACTGCAAAAATGAGTAATCAAAGACGTTTATAGATGAATCAAGGCAAAAAAGTCATAAATCCAATCAATTGTTATATGAATTATTGCTTATGTTTGACCAATAGGTGGCGCTGTTGTCAAATTGATGTTGTGTGGTCAGTGTGAGGTGACAATGACACACAGGTTTTTGTCAATATGTCGATGCTTTGCAGAGATACAGCCTCAGAATCATTTTTTCATCATGCCATCAGAATTGTTGATTGGTTAAATGATAGCAGTTTGGATTTTCAAAACAAAAATACATAAATACTTTTCACTCTGTGTGCAGTGTAGGTGGCATCATTGATCTTAAGCCATCTAGTGTCCATCAGCAGTCCTTGTTCCAGGACCTCATAATGAACAGGTGCAGTGCTGAGAGGAAGTGCTATAGTGCTCATATGAGCGCTGTCACGTCTCCAGCATGACCTTCACCCCCAGGAATCAATGAGCTCCTCGGAGAGATTAAAGGCGCTTCTCAGCGCTGAGGACAGGTGGCTGCTGATGCGCTTCCCTCCGGATGTGTCAGCAGAGGGCGACTGTGCTGTTTCGGGATTAGAAATATCACAGCTCTGCCGCTGCTCACAGGCCAGAATATCTGCTGGAAATGTATTCAAATCTAGAGCACGGCTGACTGTACTCGATACCAGCCGAGGAGGGCGGCAGCAGGGCTCAGATGTTTCATTTCAACCTGTGAAAATCAGGCTGTGAGGGATGAAGATACAGATTAATTTCTAGTGTTTCATCAGCTGAGCATTCAACAGCGATACAGTACATCATATTCAGTTTGACGGTATGAAGCTTCATCATGGTAAACCCATTCTGAGGTGGAGGAGAAGTGTTTGCATCCGTTCTGCACCTCTGCTGAACGTCCAAACATTCCTGCCACTTTTCAAACAGCAGCTAGTTTTGAGTGCAGGATCATCAGTTTTTTAAGATTATAAGGTACTTGCACACTGTTTTTGTGCACTAGTCCAAAAAGAGGGGTGAGAACTCAGTCTAGCAGACAGCATGATTTGTGTCATGTGACCATATATATTTAAAAAGGGCTCATCAGGTAAAGTAAGCGTGAGAAAATGTATCCAGCACCAAAATATCAAATGTATTATCAGTGGAAAAAAATCATGGAAATGATTTGGCTGAAGTGTTTATGAATTGAATGCCAGCTCTGGGGTAAAGTGTGTCAGGTGCTTTGGGGTAAGATGTGCCAATGAAATATGAATATTTCAATAATGATCTGAATATTTCATCCTGGCTGGTTTATGAAAATGTAAATAATGTGCAGGAAAATAACACTAGGTCAGTGTATTAGCTAATAGTAGGGCTGTCAAGTGATTACAATTTTTAATCTGATTACATAATGTGCTGATAAGTTAATCTTATTAATCGCACATTAGTTTTGGCTGAGAAATTACAACCCAAACGATCGTTTAAAGTCATTGCATCGAAGAAGACGTTACAAAAAAGTAGCTTTAAAAAATATTTTGACTCAACATTACATAAATGAAAATATGATGAATGGGTATTATTTTTTTATTTAATAATAAATATTAAAATAAAACCTACAGTACTTGGCAGCAAGTCACTGTCTTCATGAGTGAGTCATTGAATCATTCATTCAACTCATTTGTTAAAGTCCGTGTAAGGCACTATTAAATGTGTGTTCTGAGTTTGTCACACCACAGAAAAATGTTATTAACCACCCAGCCAAATTTGAATGATTAAAAAAATGGCAAGTAAATTAAACGAGGTATCAAAATCTTGAAAAAATAAGCAGTATTGTCTGCTCTCAAAACGCTGTCTGCGCTGAAACCACGGCCACTCGCGGGAAAACTGCCTAGCGTCTCTCTCTACTGTCAAATACCACTACAACCTCTAGCAGCTTCATTTAAATAAGGAGACTGAGCTGTTTTGTAAATGATTGCAACCAGGTAATATGCATTTACGTGACGAAGGCAGAGCTAGCTAGCAAACTGTAGGCTGTAGTAACTATGGTAATGACAGTAACTCGTGATTGAGCGGGCGAACCACTGATGCTAATGCGCTATAGTTATTAGACGTGTTCGACTGGAAGCGGCGCTGCACAGAACGATCGGTGTCTGACATCAAAGTACCGCGAGAGCGATTCGAAAGCATAAGGAGCGTCTGCTCTCTAGAGCTCTCGCGGTACTTTGATGTCAGACACCGATCGTTCTGTGCAGCGCTGCTTCAAGTCGAGCGCACCTCTTATAGTGTTAGAGTAGAGGCCGTGCTCAGTGTCTCCAGTGCGTCATCGAGTCATGATTTCAGCCCCGCCCAAAAAATCCTGAACACAGAAATGGTGAAAAACTGTTCTAACTCCACAATTCAGTACTACATAGCTCACAGTCTTTGTAACATGTTTCAGCAATACATTTCTAACATTTATCATGTGTTTAGAAACAATTCTCTGAATTGCCTTTACACTGACTTTAAAGGGGTCATATGACGTTGCTAAAAAGAACATTATTTTGTGTATTTGGTGTAATGAAATGGGTTTATGCGGTTTAAGGTTAAAAAAACACATTATTTTCCACATACTGTACATTATTGTTTCTCCTCTATGCCCCGCCTTTCTGAAACACGTCGATTTTTAATTAGCTCTGATTGGCCAGCTATCCAGTGCAGTGATTGGCTGAATACCTCAAGCGTGAGACGGAAATGTTACCCCCCTTGCCATATTGTGATGATGCCCTGTCAGGCCGGAGCGATGATTCAAAAACATGAAAACCCATTATAAATGAGGCATTCGTTGCATCCAGTGGGGAGATCTTATCTATTCACGAACAGCTTGTAACACTCCAAAGAGAAAGGAAAACTTGAAATCGCATCATATGACCCCCTTAAAACAACTGATTCATTCAAAAATGAATCACTGAATCATTGACTCACTCAATTGGTCCAAATTGTGGATTGAAACACTGCTGTGTGCTGCTTAGAGATGCCCAGCAGTTCTGCTGTGAATTCAACTATTTTCGTTTGTGAAATTGAGCAAAACACACTACTTGACAATGCTGTGTCTAAAATGTAACACAACGTTGACTACATGATGGATTGATATTGATTTTACACAATAGTTCAATAAATATGAAGTTAGTCATCCTGCATCATGTTCATCAGAAACTGCATCAGTGTAAGATGACAGACAGGTCTGGATGGGGCACTGCTTTAATCATTTTGAAGTGTTATTATTATTTTTTTTAAATAATTAATCATGCCAAATTACCACATTAAATTAACAGGCCTTGATAAATATATATATGTGAATTTTTAAATGTAATCTGTATTCCTCAACTTGACATGAGTGACAGTGTGATAGTGCCATGAATACGTTTATACTGTAGAGCACATCTTTCTGTGGCTCAGGAGGTACTAGTCTCATCTGTGTTCTCTTAGCTTTAGTAAGAGTGGCACATCTTACCCCGCTCTCCGCGTGACTGAGTTTGATGTGTGAGGACGCTGTGGAGATATGGATAGTAACTGTGTTTGCTGTGGCTTCTTTCACAGAGCTGAAGTCCAGCGCGCTCCTCCACGGCTCAGAGTTCATCCCTTCATCCGGAGGAGAGAAGAGCAGCTCTGATCCTGCACAGAAAAACATCTTCATCTTCTGTCTTTCACAACCAGAACCACTTAGCTAACATTTGTAGCATTTTATTTTTTTAGTCTTCGTTTTATCTCTTTCCCTCAAAAGATCGTCTTTACCATTTATGAAGACCAGATTGATGTTATTTTTATTGTTAAGTAGTCATTCACATTCCTAGTTCATGAGGAGGAGTAATGGATCACGTTGTGATGGAGTCCTTTGTAATAATAATAATAGGAGGAGCATGTGAGCATATGAAGGCGATGTTGAGGGGGTGGGGTTATGATGGGGGCGGGGCTAAAGATGGATGGGCTTTCCTGATGTCACGGTGTGTTTGTAAGGGGCCAGCACAGGACAGTGGCACTGTGTGATTTTCATTGGTGGACGGCAATCATTCCTCTATGCAGTCAAAACCTCAAACATTCCACCGAGGAGAGGACGAGCGGCGTTACCTCTCTCAGCAACAAGACGAAATGCAAAAACTCCATTCAACATGAAACCTAGGCAGCTCTTTGGGAACTTTTTCATTTTCTGGCACCAATATTCAGATATATATTTGAAGAAACCTGTTTTTCTTTGTTTTAAATCTGATGATTTTGGAGGAGGTCGCTCCGTTTGCCCTTTTAAATCTTTTTAATCTGTTTGAGATACTTGTGATTAAATGAACAAATGAGATTGAACTGCCAGTGCTGATGTTTTTAGCGGTCGAGTGAGGCCCGTGCTACCTGCTCTCTCTCTCTCTCTCTCTCCCATCTGCTCCATCAGCCCTGTGTATAGCAGTTAATGGTAGAATTTACTCTCTGTTCTTTTTTAAGCAGCTTTGGATGATCTGTCATGTTTTTATGCCCCACCCGACCCTTTGTGTAACACTCTTCCAATTAAAGTTGGTTTATTCTCTAATAATCGTGAGACGGCTTGATCTTCAGTGACTGGATGTGTGTGAAGCTTTGTGTTTGTGGGGGGTTTGATGGGATGGTTGCACTCAGGGTCCAAAATTCAAGGTGCATTCAGTAGTTGTTTAGTTAGCGTTAGCATCGCTGTTGTAGCAGTGATGTTAGATGCTGCAGTACCATCAGTCAGCGTGACGCATTCATGCTAGCGTCTAAACGTGATAATGAATCCTTTACCTGTCCAGGACAAAAGAAGCAGCTTGGGCGTCACTACTCAGGATTCTCTGTATGTCATTAAACTGTATGCCAGTGTGTCTGCCAAACCATTGTTTACATTTAGTCACTCTTTCTTCTGGCTTTAGGACTTTTTTGCTTCTTTGGCCATACAGGTACTGATTCATGATAAAGCAAGATACGTGTTCCATTGTCTAATTTTCACTCTTCACATCAAACTGCTCTACGAGAGGTTTCCTCCTTCGTTTAGTGAAACACCGCGGGTCATTTCAACATGAGCTTCGCTGAGGTGATTTGCACCAGGGTTAATAGGGTTTTTCCCCATTCGTCTCGATGGTCTTAAGTGTCCCATTTGACCTGAATTCACCATATAATTAAAACCGTTTGTGTATGAAATGATTAAGTGCAATCTTCATCTCCTGTGAGCGTGCACCATTCAGATGACTCTAAACAAAAACACTATTTATTTCTTTATGCGTAAAAACTAAAAAATAAAAATAAAAAAAAGCACCAAACTGCTGAATGCACCTTTAATTCACGCCAGGCTCCAAATGCATGTAAAAATTGGCATTGGTCGATAAAATAAAGTGACTTTGGCTGGAAGCTGAAGTATATGCATGATACAAGTGATAGTCCACTACAACAAAAACATTACAATATTCATTTATATTCATATGCATTCTGAGTTAAATGGTTTTAGTGTTTTTCTTGCTTTAACTGGAGATTCTCAACCATTTTTATTCATTGTAAAAGTACTACTGAAGTTCTCCCGAGGCTGTTTTTATTTCAGTCAGTCGCTGTGCTGTGACTGAGCAATCAGAATAAGGAGAGCTGTGAAATACAACCAAAACCTTGCAAGACCTTGAGAGTGTTGTGATGTCTGAGAGCACACAAGCGGTTTTTGTGTCCTGCTGCGTGACACAGCGTACTCTTTAGTTCATCCTGCTGTGCGGCTTCATTAAATATAGCAGAACAGGAGATTTCTGTCTCTTTATGGTATTTGCTCATTACTCTTGATAAAGTTGAAGCATTAAGTGTGAAGATGTGTCAGACATCTTTGACATTCATGTCGTCAGCCATTTCTGATGTAGTTGAGTAGGATACTGTAAAGAACATGATTTTGCTGTTGGAACAGTAAAGGAAGAGGCTCAACATAACTGGTAATAATAGTCATTACAAACACTACACACATCTGAAGATGAGTACAGGCTTTACCAGTGACAGCAGACTACATGGAAACTTTTCTTTTTGAATAATTTGCATGTGCGTCTCATGACTTCCAGTCTGTTGTGTGAGGAGAGGTGCGTCTAAATCTAGCTTGATGTGGTCACATGCACGCTTCTCGTTCGTCTCTGATGGCTCAGGTGATCTGGACTGACTCTTCACAGGTGTTCTGTGTGTTTCATGCTCGTCTTGTCCGCTCTGTCCTGTGTCTGCAGCGCGGCCCGTAACACAGATGATAGGCTGTTTGCCACGGGTCTGGTGTCACGGCCAGCTCTTCCTCTGCTGAAAGATAGAAGGGAGTCTGATGAACACCAGCACGTAGACTCTCACATCATCATCTGGAGTCTCTGACACTCTTTCATCTGCATGCAAAAAGACCTCCGTGACAGACCTGAGAAACTCTTGACTCTCAGATTCTCATCTGCGCTACGGTGTGTCAGTTTTACTGAAGGGACAGTTCACCTGAAAAGGAAAATCATACCGTCATTTACTCACTCTAATGTTGTTTCAGGCCTGTATGAATTTCTTTCTTCTGGTGAACACAAAACATTTTGTTTTGATGAAAGCGTGTAAGCAAACAGTTGCAGGTATAGCCATAGTATATGACTACCATAGCATGAAAAAACACTGGACGTCAATGGCTGCGGTCAGCTCTTTGGTTACACACATTCATCAAAACATCATCTTTTGTGCTCAGCAGAAGAAACAAACTCATACAGGTCTGAAACAACATGAGAGTGAGTAAATGACGATATGATTTTCATTTTTGGGTTTTAACCTTTGCAAACTAAACTCTGAACCTAATGGTAAATTGGCTGTTTGGGGAAATCACTGCTAGTTCCTCTGTAGTTACATGAGCTTTATGTTTCAAACATACTAACATTGTCTCTCAGTCTGAAAGCTCAGTTGACTCTCATTAGCATCTGATCAAACAGCATTTCTAACTGTATTATTCACAAAATGTGCATTGCTCATTCACAGGAATGCTGCTTTCATTCTTCATTTCCTGTTCCAAGACACTACATTACGAATTACTAAATTATTAAGGTAGAGAAATGAAAAACATCTATATTTCTCTTATCTATTCTCTTATTTATTCTCTAATCTAGGAAAAAAAAGACAAATAGTACAAAGGTTGTGTGTGTGTGAGATAGTGTGTGTGAGAGAGAGAGTGTGTGTGTGTGTGTGAGAGAGAGATAGTGGGTGTGTGTGAGAGAGAGT